GCAGGGAAGAAACCCACCAGTTCACAAAAATAAAAAAATAGAGTAATAAAAAGCACTCGGAAAAGCCTGCAGATAAAATCCAGGTCTAAGTAATTGATGTTAAAGAAGTTGAGATGAGGAGAATGAAAGAAAGACATTCTCCTGTTACAGCTATGTTGTATGATCTTTTCCCTGAGAAGGTGGCCATTTCATTTCTTCTCTGCTCCCTGTTGCTCTGAACTATGTGTAAATAAATGTGAAAAGGGAACTGTGCTCCTAAATAGTTCTCACATGTTCTGTGAGTTTGGCATTAGCAAACACATCTTGCTCGAGCAAACCTCTATGTTCCTTTCAGTTTTCACCCATAACTCATCCAGGGTAAATTTCATTTTAAGATTTAACTTGTCTTTATTTGTAGACCAGTCCTTCATATTGGTTTCACCCTCATGCTTATCCATAGATATAAACCAACACTTTCTTGTTCATAGGTGTATAGAAGAAACTTAAATTCCCAAGAATTAAATACATGATCATACTCTTTCTGCACCAGTGTGCTGAACTGAAGAGATAGTAGACTTAAAAGGGGCAGCATTGATCGAGATTGTCGTTACGCAAAACCCTTGGAGCATGTGCTCAGCTTGAGGTCTGGGGTTTAAAACACATGCTGACGCATCATCTTTTGCTGTAGCACTTCTTTGGAATTCAGACCGACGTGGGTTGTAACTGACTGTACACCGTCAGATTGTGAAAGGCACTGATCTTCTCTCAGTGAAAAGTTAAAATTCAAAATGAGTTTATTGAGGCTAGTGGTAGTTATTCATTGGCTTTGGTCCAGCGAAGAGGAACAAAGCCTGTGCACTCATGACAGGTTGTAGTGTAAGACTATTTCAGATACGATGTAGTGAAGAGCTAAGTAGCCAGTGTTGAAAAACAGTGTGGTGCAGTGACCCTGATGCTGGACTGGAACTCAGAAGTTGCGGTATTGTTCCTGGTTTTGATAGAGATTTCTGTTTGCAACTGCCTTCCTTCCCATCGTTTATCTGTCTCATCTAGACTGCTGAAGGAGCTGTCTCTTCTCTGTATGTCTTGGACATCAAGTACATTAGGCTTAACGTCAAAAAATAGTTAATGGCATTAAAAGAAACAAGTGTTTGGGGGTTGATGCTGATTTGTTTAACAGAATACTTACCCTGACTTGCTTGCCATTTGGTGCTATTAAAAGGATTTTGTGGATGTGTATTTTTATCAACTGTTGTACTGAGCTTGAGAATCACAGTGTGAAAAATAACATTAAAAAATTAAACGTTTTCTTTTTCTCCTGAAATCTCTATCACTACAGGTACTGCAGCTGGGCTCAGAAATCCTCCCGCAGTACAAACAAGAGGCACCAAAGACACCGCCACACATAATTTTGCATTATTGTGTTTTCAAGACTACGTGGGACTGGATCATCTTGATTTTAACTTTCTACACTGCTATTTTGGTCCCTTACAATGTCTCCTTTAAAACCAAACAGAACAATGTGGCATGGCTCGTAGTTGACAGCATTGTAGATGTCATTTTTTTGGTAGACATTGTGCTTAATTTCCATACCACCTTTGTGGGGCCAGCAGGAGAGGTGATCTCTGACCCAAAACTGATTCGCATGAATTACTTGAAGACCTGGTTTGTGATCGATCTGCTCTCATGCTTGCCATATGATGTCATCAATGCATTTGAGAACGTCGATGAGGTCAGTATACTAGTTCCACTTCCACCCCTTCCTTACTGCTTAATAGTTGGGGGTGGGGGAGAAAAGAAAGAAGCCAGTAAGAGAACTACCTTTCAGACACTTAAAACCACGATCCTACCCTGTTTTTACTGCTTATTTTTCTACTGGATCAGGCTGCCAAGAAAATATTCCTAAACTAAATATATGAAGGTTCTATGACTAAATAGTTCAGAGAGTTAAGGAATTGTTAGTAAAATCTTACAGTATTCTAGCGGTTCACTTTTTAATTGCATTATAAAACCTGTACCATGAACTCATTATGTGTTTGTATTTATCTGTGACACACACTAAACCTGTAACTTACGTACACATTTCATCAGTGCTTGCTATTTAATTTTTAGGCTATAAAATTAATTTTTATGAGTTCCTTTAAAATATGCCCATGTTGTAAAGGACAACCTAGCTATTAAAAGAAAATTGTGTCAAGTGAAATATCTGGGTAAAACCACGTTACTTTTGTAAAAATAACCTACACAGGTTTTTATCAAATTTGAAGTATTTAATGTATTTTGCTCCATGACTTGAGGACAGGTAGGCAAACTATAGGATGCAGTGGAAAAAACATGATGTTATTTGATATTTAATTCCCTAGAGAGGTTTTCATTTTATATAAAGCTACAGACTGAAATAACACAAATGAGAGGAAGCAAAAAAGCCTTGTGAGACCTGTCCTTAGATATTGTTTGTCAGAAAAAGGACCCAGGCTGCAGATTGCTTTGCAGGGCTTTCACATATTACTTTGCCGTGGCACTGATAAAGCAATGGAAGGAGTGGCCGATTTCCGACATTTATATGGAAAGATTATTAAAAAAAAAAAAGAGGGAAGAGAGACCAAAAAAAAAAGGAGGGGAGCTTTTTTTACCCGCTGCAGATAGCAGCAACCTGCTGATGATTTTGCTGGAGGAACACTTCATAACTAGACTGGTGGTGTGACCTACAGAACATCCCTGAGGAAAATATCTATACCAGGGACAGCCCTTGAGCTGAGCACGGGCACTCTCAGGCTCACGGTAGCAATTCCGCAGAGAAATTCTTGTGCGAGTTTAAATTTCTCCAGGTTCTCCGTCTCAGTGTTGCCTTGTAACAATGAGGAGCTGATTGGTACTTCAGTTTTCCTGTGGCTCTTCAACAGTCTCCTTTATCAGTATAACAGTATTAATTTTAGTTATTCTAGCTATCGTGCCCAAGGAAAAAAAACATTTTTCTTGATACTATCCTTTCAAGACTGTTTGTCTCTCTTTCCCCTAGCGGGTTCTGACATTTAGCTGGTATAAATCATTGCAGGGTCATTAGAGCAGTGTTTCTACTGGTGCAAATTGCTGTACTTCTATTAAGGACTCATAGGCTGGTTTACAGGACCTGAGGGGCTTTGCCAGCAATGCCAGCAGGATAACGTAGTGCACATCAGGTGAGGATTTAGGAAAGAATAGACTGATCACTGTTTCATGATCTCTGTAGAGAGAAAAATAACCTTTTTTGAAGAAGTACAGGTGTGTGTGGAAAAAGCCACAAATGAAAGTAGAAAGGCTTTGCCTTGTATCTTCATCTGTGTTGCATAGAGCATTCCCTCGTGGGTTGACTCCCTTTCTTTTAAACTTGCTGGCTCAAATTTTACCTGTGTCTCATCCCGGATTATGCACCATATTACTTCACAGTTGGATTAAGTCAGCTGTGAGCCTGCACTGCTCTGGATTGTTATCTGTGTGCCACTTTGATTTTGCTAAAGGGAGTTCCCTTGGAGCCATGAGACTGCAAGTAGGTGGCCATGGCTTCTGTGGGAATTTTTTTTTAGTCCTAATGTGAATACTCTTAAAAAGAATGCCAGAGATTAAATGAAACCCTGTGTTAACAGTGGTAATAAAATAAGATGAAGAATATGAATTCCTGTTTTGGTGATTCCTATATATGATTTTAAAGAGGAAGAAATAGAACCCTGACTTTTTTGCAGTCCCTATAGCGAAAGGGGATTGGGACAGGTGGAAGCTTGCTGTTTTTTCTGCCTGCTGTCATTCTCTGTTAAAAGAAACGTCACTGGAGACACTGAGGATGTCATGGAGGAACTAGCGTGACAAGTCCATTTGTTTTTAAGAATGCCATAATTACTGTGATAGAGATGATGAATTGATTTAAAAGGGATACAGGACCTGGAGCTGAAGAAGTAAAAAGCTGTGTATAGAGGGAGTTGAGGCTCTTTTGACTCTGAGTAATTTTGGGACTATCCCATCAATTAGTTCTTGCTAGATTAATAGTGACACCATTTTTGTCACCTTTAAAGTGATCCACCAATATAAGATTATTATATCAACTAGAGTTGATCAGTGTTTTTGGTAAGCAGATACTCACTGTTAAAAAATTATGATACTGAATTTTGAAGTTACTATTTTGAAGTAACTTTTTGTTTTGCAATTTACTTCATTATTCAGTTGTAACATATAATGGAAAATGTTTTCGTGAAACAAAATTGAGTATAACCTCTGTGTTTTTCAGGCAATTTCAAAATTCTTTGGGTTTGTTGCAGTTTGGCACATGAGTATATTTTCAATTCGCATTTTTTAATATAATTGTAATTCCAGTTTCCTCTCTGCACTGTTCAGTGTATTTTTGTCCATAAAAATACTTTGGATTCATTAACTATTAAACAATACAACTATTAATAACTACAGTTAATACAAGAGGCACTTAAGTATGAATAGCCGCATTCTACAGATGGAAGAGCAAAGAAAAAACATTAATGTCTTTCTTCAAGGCCATAGAATTAAATATGAGAATGTATGAAGCTTCTGATCTCAAGTACGGTGCTCAGAGAGACAGTGGAGTATCTCATATTCAGACATGAACAGAATTCAGCAAATGAAGGAACGAATAGCTGTAGAGAAACTTCCATTGTTACCCAAATGAAAGAAAAGTTATAAATGTTTCTCCTGGCTTTTCTATGTGGGTAGCTAATTATACAGTTAAATATGAATTACTTTCTTGACCTGCTGTAGAACTTCAAGGAAAGAAAATATTCCCCTGATAGATGAATCGGTTTAATGCTTATGCTTAGACTTTCTGCTGGTAAGACAATATATCATGCTGTATTATAGTTTGAGTGAGAAAAGCAAATACTGCTCTAAAACATACACAGCCCTTAAAACATGTGGTATTAGTCTCTCTTGCATTTGAATGATCACAATAACATTTGTCAGTAATCCTTTACAGTAATAAGTATTATTCCTCACTTACGGAAATATCCCCCTACTGTGGGGGAGAATGTTATCTTTTTGTGTTCAGACATCAATCAGATCTAATAAAAACCAGTCTTGAAGAAAATTCCACCATTTTTGCCAAGAACAATGCAATTTAAGACTTTGAATTCCAAAAGCAAGTTGAAGCATATTTTTGCAGTGTCAGCTTGAGCAATTTTTAACTGTGGTTTTCATCTATAATACAATAAGATATAATTTATACTGGAAAAAATTTGACTTATTACATGAGACACTGTTTTGAAATCTCATGGTAGGAGTGGAATCCAGTCATGTCACCACCTTATAAATCTCTGAAAGACGGAGTTTATAGTAGTAACTGCTATCTGTATTTGGACGGAACACTATGATCAATTGTTGGGTGATGCCAAATTTGGAACCATATATCACTCTTATTAGTTGAGGTAGAAGAGAAATAAATGCATAGTAAAAGATGATCAGGAAAGATGTATTCAATATAAATGATCTAGTGTTCACTTAAGGGGATGAATAAGAGAGTAGCTAGCATGTAGGCAAAGAAGATACACAGCTTTGAAAGTACAAAATTAATGATGATAAAAAAAAGTCCCATCAAAAACACAATACAGAAGTAATAGAAGGAAATTAAGCTATTTAATGCTAAGTGAGCATGGGGTAGCTGGGAAAGTAAATAGTGAGTTGTGAGAGAGGAAAAAATGAATGTGTTGCTGGTCAGATTGTTGGCAACTCTCTGAGGCAGTACTTCTGCAATAGATTAATTTAAACCTTATTAGTGGAATAATCTCTCATGCTCATACAAATTAGCTATCTAGGAATTACTGAAGTAGCTATACTGAAAAACAAACAGCTTCCCTAGACTTGTTTTACCATTTGCTTGCAATAAGGGGCAAAGGAATAAATTATCCTATGTACAATTTTATGGAATAAACAGGGGGGAGCATACAGAAAGATTTTGGGTTAGATGAATTTTGCAAACTGGAAAACAGAATTTTTAAAGTCTCTTAAACTGTAAACAGCTGTATAATATGAAATCTGTTGGAAACAGTGCGTAGTTCACCTTTATTATTTGTATCTCTCCAGTTAGGCAGTACTGTGATTTGCATGTGTCTATTGATAAATGTAATGAATGAATTACATAAAAAGCCATTTGCATGTGTCTATTGATAAATGTGGTAATGAATGAATACTTTTCTGTGGCTAATTAAAATAGTCATAAGCTACCTTACACTTAAAACAAAGAACCTAAGTATCACAGAGTATGATCCAGGCATAGGGGAAATGTTGGCAAATTGTGGTTCTTGGATGGTGGTGAAAGTGGATGAGAAGGGATTAGTAAGACCTGCTGGACTGGGTGACTGGTGCTCCTGGGGAATAATCAAGCAATTGGGTTATTGCACCCAGGTGATGTGTGGGTCTTGGACTGGGGACATGGTGGTGAGTGAGGTTTACTTGGTTGGGTGTCCCCTTGTGCGAGACCCCTGAAGAAATAAGACAAAGCCCAAGGGAGATGTGTGCTCAGGGCTGTAACCTGCCAGAGGCGTTGGAGCAGTGCTGGGGGTGGTTGGTGGTGTTGGGAGCTTCCAATGGAGCTTGGAAGTCCTGACCTGTAGAAGAAGGGGCGTGCAAAGGAAAGGAAAGGTCATAGAGGAGGAAAGCTTCTTATCAGAATTTTGTAGGTGCCTGTGTACTGCAGCGTGGCCCCAAGGGGCTGTGCCAGGCGGGAATCGCTCCTTAACA